GGGGGAGGGTCGCAGGCGTTGGGGGGTGTTGCAGGCGTGGGGCGGGGGGGTCGCAGGCGTGGGCCTGGTGGGGGTGGTGCCCCAGACCTGGACCTACCGCACCCGCAGCAGCCGGTTCCGCTCTGCCTTCCCCGAGGCCCCCCTCTCCTGGAGGCACTTCCTGGCAGCCGGGGCCTCCACTCGGGCCGACCTGCAGGCGTCCTCCAGCTGCCTCTCCTGGATCTCGATGTGCCACATGGCGCTCCTTGCAAACAGGAGGCACTTCTGTTTACGCTGGCAAAGGGGTTGGAGAGCCGGGCCACACCCCCCGCGCAGCATCCACTCCAGGGCTCCGCCACCGAGTCTGACCTCCACCCAGGCCCCTTGTCTCCTGCAACAACGCCCTGCTCTGTCCCTGAAGCCCTGCTCTCTGGGCCCAGGGACGCAGTGACCGTGCCACATGGCACCGCCACGAGCTTCATGCTTTGCTTACGTACCTCTCATTCCCATGAAAACAGGCAGGGGCTCCAAGTGTTTTACTCACTGCTGACCCTACATGCTTACATCGGGGTCTGACACTCAGCAGGTGCTCAGTGACCGTGAGTGACGCCGTCTAAGCCACAGAGCCCCAAGTTCACACGTGCCCCTGAAGGAAGCCCTTGGGGACAGCAGACGCCTGCTGCGTGGGCCGCCTGCCCTCAGCCCACACCTGGGGGGACTCATCGACATCCCTGCGGCCTGGGGTGCCCTCGAGCCCTGAAGTCACGTCCCCCCAAGAATAGGTTCGAGGGGTCACTACGCTGTCCAAGGGGACGCTGACTAGGAAGGGGAACCAGGTGGGCTTCCAGCGGGAGCCAGTGCTCAGTGGTGAAGCAGACAGCAGTGGACTCTACGGCCATGAAGGGAGACACCGGCTGCGCACGAGGACATGAGTGCCTCTCACGGCTGCTGTGTGGCATGGAGGAGACGGGCACGGGGAGTAAGCACTGCAGGGCCTCACACACTTAACACTAAGGGGCAGAGGACACCTGCGGTCACCTGGGGTCAGCACTGCTGACGGACAGGATGCACAAGGGACGTTTGACATACATTTTCCTGCCTGTAAATTAGACCTAAATAAAGCTGATCGAAAAGAAGGCAAATGGGCAGCAGCCACGCCCACATGAGGAGGGGCAGGCAGGCGGGCTATGGGGGCGGGGCGGCCGCAGCGGGGCAGGGTCAGCAGACTGGTACTTGGCGGGAGGAGACGGGCGCGCCTCGGGTTCTGTGGAGCTGGAAGCACGGCTGTCAACTCCTGGTTCTAACGCAGACACACAGAGACATGCACGCGTTTCCCAGTGCGGCCGCCTGGCACCCGGCCCTAGGTCCCTAAACACCAGTCTCCCCTGTGAGAAGCCAAGGCTCTGGCTTGGTCCGGACAACCGGCTAGGTCTAGGACTAGGGCGGACAGGAAACAAGTGGGCTAGGAACACGTCGTTACCCCAGAAAGCACTCAAAGAACGACAGGGAGCCTGCTTGAAAGAGGTGCTAACTGGCCCAATTGGGGGAGACTGGAGCATCAAAATAAATAATGACGGTGGGACTTCCCTGGTGGCGCAGTGGTTAAGAATCCGCCTGCCAATGCAGGGGACACGGGTTCGAGCCCTGGTCAGGGAACTAGATCCCACATGCATGCTGCAACTACAGATCTCACATGCTGCAACTTAGACCTGGTGCAGCCTAAATAAATAAATAAAATAAATATTTTTTTTAAAAAGTGTAAACTTCAGGGACTTCCCTGGTGGTCCAGTGGTTAAGACTCCATGCTCCCAATGCAGGGGGCCTGGGTTCGATCCCTGGTAGGGGAACTAGATCCCGCGTGCCGCAACTAAGACTCGGCACAGCCAAATAAATAAATAAATATTTTTAAAAAATGTGTAAACTTTAAAACCGAAAAAGAAACCCTGCACACCCCATCTCGATCAAGTGACCAAAGTTCCCCCACTGGAAATGGGACCGGTGGCCATCGTACACCTTGTTGGCAGGGGCGGGGGGCGGGGGGGGGGGCCCTGGCCCCCCCTGCCAGTGCAGAGGACACGGGTTCGTGCCCCGGTCCGGGAGGATCCCACATGCCGCGGAGCGG